ACGACGGCGACGCGTCCCCGACGCCCACCAGCGTCAATTACCACTTCACCCGGCAGTGCAACTACAAGTGCGGCTTCTGCTTCCACACGGCCAAGACCTCCTTCGTGCTGCCCCTGGAGGAGGCCAAGCGGGGGCTGGCGATGCTTATGGAGGCAGGTGGGTTCGGCGGGGGGGTGAGTTCGGCGGGGTGATGCGCGGCAGGCGCAAATGACATCGAAAAAGTTATCCCGGGGTGTGTCCTTCTTCATATCGCTGCGATCGGGCACAGACAGCGAGTGGAAGGAAAGAGCAACAGTAGGCTGAGCTCCACAGAATCTTTCTTTGGTCCTTTTCTAGGGATGGAGAAAATAAACTTCTCGGGAGGGGAACCCTTTCTTCAGGACAGAGGTGAATTTGTAGGCAAACTGGTCCAGTTTTGCAAACAAGACTTGAAGCTACCAAGCGTCAGCATTGTCAGCAACGGCAGCTTGATTAGAGAACAGTGGTTCAAGAAGTACGGTAAGGAAAAACTGCTGTGCAGAGAAGCACTGGCAGGGTTTGGGAGCTCCTCGGGGTTTGGGAGTTCTTTGGGGCAGCGTCACCAAAAGATAGGTTTTGATGCAAGTGGGAGATGGTTTTGTAGTGGTTCATTTATCATAAATACAAACCAAATGTAGATACTGGTGAAACATTGTTAAATATGCATTTTCAACACAGGGAGTTTGTACTATTGTCTCTTTGGTGTAACAGTATAATAAAATAATAGCTCGTACTGTCTCCATAGCTGAGGACATGGACACATACACACACAAAATGTGTTTTGGTGCTGCTGCTGTGGGTTTTGTGGTTCATTTGGTGACTCCACAGCATTGTATTTTCAGGCACTTTGTGACACATCACAAGGAAGTGAAAGTGGGCAGAGTCCTGACAGCTTCTAACTGAGGTACTGAATATTAATCATTTTTTAAAACTTGTTTTCAGGTGAATATTTAGACATTCTGGCAATTTCATGTGATAGTTTTGATGAGACTGTCAATGTTTTAATTGGCCGTGGTCAAGGAAAGAAGAACCACGTGGAAAATCTGCATAAACTGAGACAGTGGTGCCGAGAATATGCTGTTGCTTTCAAAATAAATTCCGTGATCAACAGATTTAATGTTGAGGAAGATATGAATGAGCAGATCAAGGCACTCAACCCCGTGCGCTGGAAGGTAAGAAAGTAGTGTATACCATGAGTTTCATGTTCAGAGAAACATAATTATGAAGTCCTGGAGTTGCCTGAACCTCTAATGACCTCAGGCAGATCTCCGGTTACAGCTTGGGCTGCTGTTAGTGGACTTCTCTGTGTTACATGGTATTGAGACAGATTCTGTCTCTTTCAGCAGTTAAATGGAGCCCAGTATGTCAAGAATCTTTTTTGTTGTGATTTTATACTGGAAATTACTATTTCAGTCTATGTAGATCTAGGGAGGGTTATATTAAAAATAAGATAAAAGGTATTTAACATTTTAAAATGTGTCATGGTGCAGAGAAAATGAGGAAAAGTGTACAGTGATACATTAGAGTTAATATATCATTAGCAATATATAAATGTACATTAGACATTAATATTCTGCTATAGAGTATTAGTGGTTAGTGTGCCTATACTATTATTCAGCCATAACTGGGATGAGTGGCTGATACCGCAGAGTGCTGTGCAGTCATTCAGGACCTAGAGAGGCTGGAGAGATGGGCAGAGAAGAACTTTCTGAAGTTCAACAAAGGTAAGTGCAGGGTCCTGCACCTGGGAGCCAATAGGCGTAAACTAAAACAAAGGAAGTTCCACTTGATCGAAGAGCATATTTTCTGTGAGGGTGACTGAGCATTGGAGTAAGTTGCCCAGGGACATTGTGGAGTCTCCTTCCCTGGAGATCTTTAAGACCCGTCTGGACACAATCCTGAGTAATGTGCTGTAGGTGACCCTGCTTGAGCAGGGAGGTTGGACTAGATGATCTCCAGTGGCCCCTTCTGGCCTCAACCTTTCTGTGATTCTAAGATTATGTTTTCTACTAGAAGTGTATTAAATACATTATCAGTTTGAAAATAGGTAGAAGTACTGTGACTTATGAGAGAACTTATAGAGTAATATGACATTATTTGCTTCATGAAAATTGGTATACACACATGGTTTCCCAGAAAAAAAAAAAAATCTCTAAGTGAAATATTGTTCCTAGTAAAGGAGTGTAAAGAAAACATGACATACATCACAATATTTTATCAAGCTTCATGGCCTGCTTTCTTACTGGAGTTACAGGGCACATTGATGGCAAAGGTACCTTTTTTCCCCCAAAAGTCTATTCTGAATTCCTATTTGAGGACTTGACCTTTAGAAGGAGGCTGTTAAGTAGACAAACTGTTACATTTTGTTTCTGGGGAGTCATCCCTGTCTTTCCTATGACATCTGAAGCTAGTTGAACTTACAGTCACCAATCAGGTTAAAATCTTTAAGAATAAAGATTGACTTGATAGTCTGCACTATACATGGTACTTACTGGCATTTATAGCCATACTATTGAGGTTCAGTCAGGAGTTATTTGAGCTTTGATTATCTGTGCCCTTATTAAGACCAGAGCAGTTAAGATTTCTGTGGAAACCTGATCAGGAACCATGACTGTGTAACTACATTTGGAACTATGTAATGCCAGTTTGCTACAAACAAATCTGCACTGTGCCCTTCGTGTAATATTCACTTACCACAGTTTCTGAGAGTGTGGCTCAGCTAACAGAAAAATGGAAGACATTGTTACTTGGACAACTGAAGGATGATGACAGTCTCATATCCTCAAGGCAAGTGGAAACAAAATCTCAACCAGGTGCCTTCTGTCTTCAGGTATTCCAGTGCCTGCTCATTGAAGGGGAGAACAGTGGTGAGGATGCCCTGAGAGAAGCAGAGAGATTTACTATCAGTGATACAGAATTTGAACAATTCCTGGATCGCCACAAAGATGTGTCCTGTTTGGTACCTGAGTCTAATCAGAAGGTAAAATTGAAACTGTCCTTTTGTAACTTTATTTTCAAATAAAGTTGGAAAGATGGAAAGGAACTAGAAGCTTTCATGGCAGTTAATGCTTTCCCCATTAGTATTAGCTTCAAAGAGACACAGTCCAACTTTGTCAGCAACAGGATTTGTTATGGTGGAAGACAAGGTTTTAGATTTTCTTTAAGGATTTTTATTGAGCACAAAGTTATTAATAGAGGAGTAAAACCTCATTGATCTCAGTCCTGTGGAAACTAGCGTGAGTCCTCTCATAGTGGCATGTGGGCCTCTGCTCATTGAGATAGATGTACACACTGAAACTGGAGAAACTGAGTTTTCGACAGATCAGAGGTGAACTCTAAACAGTACTTAAGCCCTTTGGAATTTAATAGTTCTTCCCCACCAGGGCACAAGATCCTGAAAAAGTTGAATGTTAGTGTGTTAGTGTAAATGCACTTTATATTCTAAGCATAGTTTCCTAATAGAGATTCATCATGATGTTATGCTATGATAGTGTTGCTGACCTGCACTAAGATATCCCAGTCAGTATTATATTAGGTGCAGAGGAACAAGAACTAGTGTTTTAGCCTGATACATCTTACTGGGTACTTCCTCCCACAATAAAGTCACATCTTAACATTGTCTATCTGAGCGCCTTTGGACTACACTATGAGGCTCTTTGTCCACAAGGAGGCTCCTGTTGCTACTACAGAGCCCAGCAGTTAATTTGATGAGCTGCCATCCAGTTTACACTAGTTGCAGTAAAGGACTTCAGTGCCTAAGGGTGGAACTCATGACATTTGTAAGATGACCCTATACATGGCATGAGGAGAGCTAAACCTCACTGTTAAGAAAGTTTATGAACTGAGGGAGGAATTACTAAATTGAACCAAACTCAGGAATTCTTGTATCTCTCATTGAGATGGGAGAGATGTTCCTTTTCCTCTCCAAAGATTAAGATTCTCCTTTTACAGTTTACTTCTTAATGTATGGAGAGCTCAAGTGAGGAGACTGGGTTGCCTCTGCTGTGTAAGACATAGAAGTGGGTCTGTGCAGTCTAGCATTTAAGGCATTTTGTGAGGTGGGAGGTTACCTTTGTCTGCTGGATAGTAATTAAACACCCCATCTTAAATTACCTTGAGAGGTAATTTTCCAAGAATTACTGGTTTATTCATGGATTAAATCATGCTAGTAATCCTGTAGTTTATTTCTATAAATTTGGTCCAAGCTCACTGAAATAGTGGTAAGACACTACTTGTTTTGAATGATTAGTTGTTTGTATTGTCCTTGATATATCACGAGAATGGAATTTTGGTTTCTATATTAATAATTTTTTTCTTTTTGTCCATTACAGATGAGAGATTCATACCTCATTCTGGATGAATATGTAAGTTTTTGTTTGATACTTGGTATTTGTATGCTAATATGTGTATCTATACAACAGTGATAACCAAATCAATTTACTGTGCATTCTATAACTTGCCATGCAGTACAGGAATAGATGTAATTTCTTCCCATCGAACATATTAAGAATTTTAATGTAAGTATGACCTAAGGAGAAATTGCCATCAGGTTTATATATAATCACTGCATCACAAACCTGAAAGTGTAGATGTCTATCTTTATAGGACATCTTTGCTGTTTTTCTTTAATTTAAAAATACAGAACTTGTGCTGACAGTTAAGTTTCAAAGAGCCTACTTAGTTTACATATAACTGAAGAGGAAACTTTTAATCTTTAGGAATTATGCTATGGCTTTATTTCTGCTGAGATGTATTGATGTGTCTAACCGCGAGCTTCTGAGCTTTCTAAGGACTAAGTGAAACTGTTCATGCACTTATGTATGCTTTTGTGGGACTAAAGAGCAATTTGTTTAATTCTGTAGAAAAAATTAAGCTTTTGCAAACTGACTTTCTAATGTCTTATCTATTGATGTTCCAGATGCGTTTTCTAAACTGTAGAAATGGACGGAAAGAGCCTTCCAAGTCTATCCTAGATGTTGGTGTAGAAGCAGCTATAAAATTCAGTGGATTTGATGAGAAGATGTTCCTGAAAAGAGGAGGAAAGTATGTGTGGAGTAAAGCAGACATGAAACTGGACTGGTAGTTCAATATACTGAGTTAGGGCAGATGCACTGTGTAAAGAAAACGGGTGTGTGTATATAAATATGAGTATGTGTATATATATATGCGTATGTGTATATATATATCTAATGCTTTTAAGTACACTAGGTGTATTGCACATGTTGCATACACAGTATAGTTCTGTATGTGAATGTGCTAAATATTTTAGAATGTAGACTATGTTCTCATCTATTGTTTGGTTGAACGTTACCAAGTACCTTCAGAGCTTTCATATAAACAGGTATCTGAAATCAACTTTCTAGTCCATTGTATGAAGGACTTAAAGGTAAACCATTAACGTAATGTCACACAGGAAACAATTTTAAGATAATACATAAGTGTGCATGCCAGAAAACAAACCAAAACACACCCCAATGTCTAATTCATTACAAACAGCTTTAAGAGTTGGTAAGTGGAATTTACTAATGGGGAACGTATTCTACCTCATTCATATGGAAAGATGGGTTGCAGTTCGTCGCTAGATCACAAGAGGGCCAGCTAGCAGTCCTTAGGAAACCGCCCTCGTTCTTGATTTTCTGGCAATTGTTACGGCTTTATAATTAAAGTTTTCCCAATTTAATTAGTTCCCCCATCCCCAAGCTCTGTATTAAGGGCATGGGGATAAGCATTGCACAAAGCAGAAGTGAGCTGACACTACTCATTCATCCTGTCCATTGAGCTCAATGCCTGGAGTGTCTCTTAAGTTTAAATGTTTGCAGCAGCTGGGAGCCAGCATGTATTAAATATACAATGTAGAGAAAAATACATCATCTTTAATTTTTCTGATAGTGATAATTGATTTTTTTCAGAGGTTTTTGAGAGAAATGTTTTGCATTCACCTAAATGTAGGGGAATATGCTTAAGTAGGAGCTGCTACTTCTGAATAAAGGAAGGTGCATCTCTGAATACTCTGTGAAAATGTTTCCATTTATAATTCCTTCGCTTTCTATTTTAACTATCCTAAGTAAATATACTGTCTCAGTGGTGATCTTTTGTCTCTTTGTATTTTGCAATCACAACACTTCCTAAGCACTTACAGTCCAGTATTTATTTTCTTGCATTAATACTAAGTGACATTTAAAATGTGGCCCACATACATTAACCCCACAGTCTTTTGGCAGCTATTTCACTGACCTCAGTTGGAGTTCTGCCTGAGTAGCAACTATGGGCAGCGCAAATTTATGTAACTGGGGTTTGACTTCCTCTGCGTTCCCATTGCTCAAATGTTAAATCCAGCCTCTTTCTCGGCATCTACACTGCATGATAGAAAAGAAGCATTTTCCTTTGCTACTGGCTCAGTCCCAGCATGGGGAAAGATTTAGTGCATCAGTGTACCAGTAAATCTACCAGCTTGCTGCTTCTGCAGAAAATGCCAGCTGTATCACAGCACACAGATGCGAGGCACACAAACTCCCATTCAGATCCAGAAATCCTGCCATTCTTTGCTTTGCATTTTACTCTGTAAATGGCTATTCTTTTGGTGCAAGAGTTCTCTGTGCATACTGAGGAAGCTGCAGTGTAAACAAACTGGAGCTGAAAATGTGATAATCCAGTAAATAATGTAAAGACATTGAAGACGGCTTTTATCAGAAGGTTCTAAGTCCTTATCTTCTTAAAATCTTAAGGATTTTACATTGCCTCTTGTTACCATACATAATTAAGATAAAGTTGCTGCTCTGTGTGATACTGTTTTCCAAATGAAATGCCGGTCACGTACATTGGAAATGAAGAACTTGACATAACATGTTTTGACAGACGATCACTGTAGTTAATGCATAGCGATCAGTATTTTTGTTATATACAAAATTAATTTTTGTGTAAAATCTCAAAAATGTTTTTGACTACAGCTTGGTTAACCTAGTTTATTTTTTTTTTTTTTTTTTTTTTGAATCTATAAACACAGTTCACATTGGACCAAAAATGGACTTTAGGCTTTCAATCTGCAGTTAGGTCTAACTTTCAGCATAGGACTAGAAAAATAATACTGAATTCAGTATGACTACTCGCAGGCTTAGAGATTACATGTACATTGTGACCCTGAAAAGTCAGGATTTGAATTTAAGTCCTGTAAACACAGATACGCTTAATTGTATTTTCATGCGTAATCTCATGGTACTGCAGCCAAGCACTTGCTAAAGATGCTGAAGTGGGAAGGAACTTTTCACTGTATTTTGCTAACATTACACAGCTGTTCATTTGTAAAATTTGTTAAGAATGACTGTTTGGGAGAATAACTTGAGTTACAATTATGAATGTACCTTGGGTAATGAGTAAAACTGTCATTTAAGATGCATTTTAAGATGCCCTTCTTTTCAGTATGAAATATATTTCAATGTCACAAATGATGGAATTTTAAATGATGGTGTCACATAATTAGTGCTAAATATTTCACATGTTGCACATTTCAATAAATGTATCTATTTTTCTAAGTTTGTCTGTATTATTATTATTTTTATATAACCCGGAACCATACTAGCAGAATGTGTGACTGCATGTACAAGACAGCTGTAATTCTGGGTGCAGTCTGTAGTTAGCAGAGGGGGCTGCTTGCACGGTGCCAAGGGCATGTAGGCCAACAGGGAGAACAATAGTGGTGATTCTCCTTGTGATGAGCAGCATTTGTTACAAGCTTGAGTGGACTGGGCTGTGCTGGGAGAAGATGGTTAAAACAACTTGTGCTGTTCAGATGACAGGCATTACAAAAGACAACTATCGATAAATATCTGAGGAGAAAAATAGATGCTCTTCTGCTATGGTAAATAAGACAGAAAGGCTAGTGAGTTTCACGGAGCAGACTTTCAAGCTCATCAGTCTCCAGGCTGCAGTATCAGCTCTAGTACTAGGCAACTTGAAATTGGGCTTTTCACTGTAATTGGTTGTGTGTGATGGGAGAATTAGCTTTTTATTACCCCTTGCTTTTGCCATCTTTTCCCTTGGGTCTTGTAGTGGAGCGGAGGTATGCAGGAGCAGAGCTGCAGTCAGATCCTGTATTGCCTTCCGTGACCCCCCGACCTCCACAAGGTGCTCCCGGGGGGCTGCTCTGTGCTGTCACCCCTGCGACAGGTCGGGCAAGGGTGTAAACCAACCAGACAGCTCCTTACTCATCTTCCCAGGCCGGGGTTCTTCCTTTCGTGTCACCGTGTGTTACAGAAGTAAGCCGGTCGTTGCTCCATACATCAACCAACAACGGGAAAGTGGCTGGTTTTGCTGAG